AAGTGTGTAACATTTAATTTGTTTTATTATTAAAAATTGTATATTATGTATCTAGATACCAACGCACATAATGTTATGATAAAGTATTGGTTTTACTATGATGTTTAATTAATTTTTTTTTTTTAATCTGTGAGTAAATTTTCTAATAGTGTTAATTATGTCATTTTTAAGTAATGAAAATACAAAAAAAAAAAAAAATCTAAGAAGAAATATGTAAATGTATTTATATTTTTTTTTGTGAATCAATAAGAAATAATCATAGAAACCTGAAATATTCGCCAAATTTATAATTATATAATTTTCAAAATATTTTGCTCATCTGACTTTTTAAATACCTATAGATACACGAAACTTGTTATTCTCTTTTAATTTATATGAGCACAACCATTTTTGTCTCGGTAAAAAAGCTCAGCAACTTTATAAAGTTCATCAGAAGTTCCACTTATTGATAAATGATAATAAATCGATTCTGCGTTATGTATCAATTTTCATTAATACAACCTTATGTTCAAATTTAGACAAAAAAAAATGAACATACTTTGCACGTAGATGGGCCACTATTGTAGGTGAGAAATTTGAAAGGTAGTAGAGGAGAAATTTAATATATACCTGTAAGCAATGGTAAACCATTGCCAACAACACAACGATTTTGAACGGAGTTTAGTTGATAGTGTTGCTTTTTCAACAATCACATTATAGCAAAATAATTGCATAAGCATTTGCTTTAATAATATTTATTTAATATCGTCCCTATTTTCCCGTTTTTCTTACGTCTTCTCGTTTTTCCAGTTTATCCCATTTATTGGAAAAATTCCTAAATAAATCAAAAAACTACCTTCTTAAAGTACCTCTCCAATATGATTTGCAAAATTTCTAGTAGAGAAGTTGTTCACAGGAAAATAAAATAAATAAACACCATTGTAAAACCATAAACTTCTTGGCTCCACACAAAACCTAAAATGTTTGACAGAGTTCTATTTGGAGTATGAATGATAATAACAGTGTCCTAGAATTTATGATACGAAGTGTGTCCATTTCTATTTTTACTCATACTTTTATTAAATTTGTTCTTTTAAATTTTATAGTCACTTCATTTGGTAATGGGTGGTGCTCCTGCTGGACCGGCCGGTACCGGAAAAACTGAGACGACCAAAGATTTGGGGAAAGCTATTGGAATGATGGTCTACGTTTTCAATTGTTCTGAACAAATGGATTTTAGGGTGATTATAACTAAGAAACTTTTAATGTGATATGCATTTTTATCAAATCTAAAATTATAATTTTTGGAATATTAGATCTGAAATCCATATTTTTTAATAATCTCACTAGTATATATGTATATATATATATATATACCTAAAAAATTGTTGTATTATCCATAGTAATATGTTATCCTTGTTAAATTACTGTATTAAACAGCCACCAGATGTAAACTTTATTAAATAAATAAATGGTTAAATATTGTAATCAATAACATGTTATTATAAAAATAAAATAAATATCTGGTTTCCAGTCATGCGGTAACATATACAAAGGCCTCGCCCAAACCGGTGCGTGGGGATGTTTTGACGAATTCAATAGGATAACTGTTGAAGTATTGTCCGTAGTAGCAACCCAAGTAAAAAGCGTATTAGATTCCATAAAAGCAAAGAAAAAAACGTGTGTGCTACTTGGGGACGAAGTAAATCTTATTTCTACAGTGGGAATGTTCATTACAATGAACCCGGGGTACGCGGGACGAGCAGAACTTCCTGAAAATCTTAAGGCATTGTTCAGGTATGTTGCATGTTTACTCGTATTATGTATTTAATGATTTTCTAAAACAAAGAAAGATTTTAAAATTTGAATTCCCTCCAGACCTTGTGCCATGGTGGTACCAGATTTTGAATTGATCTGTGAAATCAATTTAATAGCAGAAGGTTTTCAGAGTGCGAGAATACTTGCGAGAAAATTCATAACCTTGTATAGCCTTTGCAAAGAATTATTATCAAAGCAAGATCATTACGATTGGGGTCTAAGAGCTATAAAATCTTTATTGGTTGTCGCCGGATCATTAAAGGTAAATTATAAATTATAATAAAAGTAAATTTCGTGAAACCAACAATATAAACATACTTTTAAATTTTAAAGAAAAAATTACATTAAAATAAAACTTTTCCAAGTATTTGAAACATTTATGTAAAATTATAATAATTAAATTATATTATAACTACATATAACATACAAACCAATGTATTTTGAAACAGTCGTAACGTAACAAATTTAATTTCAATTTTAGCGATCAGATAGAAATCGCCCGGAAGATCAAGTTTTAATGCGAGCTCTCAGAGATTTTAATACCCCAAAAATCGTAACTGAAGATACCAGTATATTTATGGGGCTAATTGGTGATCTGTTTCCTGCACTTGACGTGCCCCGAAAACGTAATTTAGATTTCGAAAAAACGGTCCGCCAAGCTGCGCTTGACCTGAAACTCCAACCTGAAGACAATTTTATACTCAAGGTCTCGATTTTCATTGTTATTATCATAAAATGTGCCATTTAAATATATAACCCAATTGTTTTGTTGGCACAGGTAGTACAACTAGTGGAGTTGTTAGAAGTTCGACATTCAGTTTTTATAATCGGTTTGGCTGGTACGGGAAAATCTGAAGTCTGGAAAACACTGTACAAGGCCTATTCAAATATGAAATTGAAACCTTATTTCAACGATATTGAACCGAAAGCAGTTACCAACGACGAGTTGTTTGGTGTTATCAGTGCCACTACCAGGGAATGGGTGGATGGTAAATTTCCGTATAATATGTCATTTACACGTTTATAAATATGAATCGGGTATTCATATCATAGATAATACAAGAATGAATAAGAGTTTGTCATAAGAGAACGAACATTTTTATAATTTTAGGTTACAAGGGGTTGCATCTATAAAGTTGTAAATTTGATCAAAAATAATCTAAAGTTCATAACTCATTTTACTTTTATTCAGTATGAATTAAGCTAATTAGTTAGCTACATAAGTAGTGCTTTATAATCAATAATCAAAGATAATCATTATTTATTATGGAATAATATTTTGACAAAAACATTCAAATTATATACCTACATAATACGCTATTAAAAAAAAAAAATTATAAATATATATATGTAGATTACAATTCTGGTTTATGAATGTTTGGTATAATAATAGTAGGTGCTCAATTGAATTGAGTTCATAAGTTTCGTTAATTTAGCTTTGGTACGATTTTCCTTTATATTATCTTTAATCTTTATAATTTCGTGAAAAATACGATAAAAATAATATACAATTGTATTGAAATAACCACTTGAAATTGTTTTGATAAACAAAATTCAAATACAAATACGTTTATTGAGTTGTTATCATTGTTAAATATAATTAATGATAAAACCCCTTGTTGTGTGAGTGGGAGCGGTATAAGCAGTCGGTCTC